AAAAATCTATAGTGTTTCACATTGCCAAAACACTTCTTTCAACAACAAAAAAATCCTAAATTAGCAGTATATTCATTTTTTTCTCTATTTTGCATATGTATACGAAAAACAACAATAAAAACATTCTTTTAAATCGATTTTATACACGCACATCAATTCCGTGTTATTCAAAATGAATATTTTAACCTCAAATCATTCTCATCTCTTTCAATTCAGATTTTACAACTACAATGTCTCTGCAAACTTTGGAAAAAAAAAAGAAAACTTTGGAAAAAATAAATAAACCAAATTAGACGACGAAGAAATCCAAAATTAAAGTGAGGAACTTTTCGATTTAAGGAGTGGCCATAAAACTGATGACGCGGGGACTCGTTTACAAATTGTTCGAAAATAAAAAATAAAAATTCTAAAGGATGGATAATTAATCGTTAACATATGGTTGAAAATTGTTGTCGTATGTATGCATAAGAGTCAAATACATATTTTGTTTTGTCTTCAGAGTCAAATACATATATATGGTCCCAACGAGATGCTTCGATATATACTGAAAAAAAGATAGTATTAAAAGAAAACAAAATGATTACAAAAATAATAACAAGAACTCATCAGTGCGATCAATTTGTATGGATTGTGGATGAAGACTACTAGTATTATTAACATGTGTTTTTATTCTGTAACTGCGACTCTTCGCAACTTATTATGTTACTCTTTCGTAACATTTTATTGGTTGAAGTTTTAGACTGATTTTAATAAAATAGTTTCGTAGTAATTGAACTTTTTTATTAATTGGCACTGTTGATGCTGACTGGATCGCCTACTTCTAACTAGAAGTTTCGTTTTGATACCATTGCATTAGCATTTTGATACCCATCATAAATGATAAACCGCTTGTCTTTAGAAGTAGATTTATTTTATTCTAACAACATAGTAGCAGGTCAAAATTATTTTGTATTTCTAATAATTTATACATCTAGCATGTCAAAACTATTTTCTCAACCAAAATAGATGGTAGTCTAGTGATTGGTTTGGATTTTTATCCATTTAGTACATGTCAAAACTATTCTCTCAATCAAATAGATGGTAGTCTAGTTTGTTTCACAGTGAATATTCAAGTCCATTTAGAAGGTGATTGATTTAGACTTTTATCTTTGGTTTTTACTGTAAAATAAAAAGTTTTCTACAAATAAACTCTCAAAGTAGTTAAGA